CCTTCTCGAACGCCTGTGCTTCGACCCACTTGGAGAAATAATCGGTCATGAGCAATATGTATTGGGCTTTGCCGGGTGTCAATGGCAAAGGACCGACGATGTCCAACTCCCATTTTATAAACGGCTGGGGGGATAGAACCAGGTGAAGATGAAGATTTTCCCCTGGTTGATAAATCATCGGGGCGTGCCTCTGGCACTCGTCACACTTTCGAACGAAGTCTTTCGCATCTTTTTCCATCTCGTTCCAGTAATAACCGGCTCTGATCAATTTTCGAACCAACGATTCCGCTCCCGAATGGTTTCCACAAGTACCCTCGTGTACTTCCCTCATCACGTAGTCGGTCTCCCACGAACCCAAGCCCCAAAGACGATCTTCGATATAATTTTCCACCAACCTAGCCAAACCTGGCAGCCTTAGTATGCAGGGCCCTCGATTCCTTGGGGTCTGCCGGCAATTTCCCTTTTTGAAGGTAGTTTATGTATTTGTTTCTCCAGTCCCAGGTCAAGCTTGTTGAGTTCACCTCGGTGTGACCTTCCTTTATCATTGAGTTTATCAATTGCACTACTGCTCCGGAGCTGAACTCATCGGAGTCAATTGACGACCCTAGATTAGCCAACGCATCGGCCTCGTTATTTTGATATCGAGGTACAAGTTATAGAGTCCACTACTTGAATTGGTGTAAGGTCACTTGCAACTTATCCAAGTATATCCGGATCCGGTCCTCTTTTACTTCAAAATCCCGTTCACTTGGTTAACGACGAGGAGCGAGTCACGCTTGGCCTCAATCACCTCAGTCCCAGGCTCTTAGCCAGTTCTAGACCTGCAATCGTAGCCTCATATTCAGCTTCATTGTTAGTCAATCTCACAGTTCTAATAGACTGCCTACTACGTTACCCGTAGGTGGTTTTAATACGATTCCCAACCCGGACCCTTTCGCGTTGGAAGTACCGTTCGTGAATAGGGTCCAAATCCCCGAGCTAGTCCGCAAGGCGAGCAGTAATTCTTTCTCAAATCAAGGCCGGTGTAAAGTTAGCCACGAAGTCTGCAAAAATCTGAGATTTTATAGTAGTCTGGGGTTTGTACTCGATATCGTACCCGCTAATCTCCATGGCCCATTTGGCCAGCTGTCCCGAGAGCTCAAGTTTACGCATAACAATTCTTAGTGGGTATGAGGTCACGACACATATGTGTTGACACTGAAAGTACGAATTTAATTTCCTAGATACGCTCAATAAGGCGAGTGTTAATTTTTCTAAGTATGGATACCTTGTTTCGCCACCGCCTAGGGTTCTACTAACATAATAAATAGGCAACTGCGTACCTTCTTCTTCCCGGACCAGGACACCACTTACCGCTACCTCAAAAACTGCCAAATAGAGGTATAGATGCCAGTTTGCCTTCACATTGTGCAGCAAATGAAGGTTCGATATATCGCTTGAGTTCTTTTAAGCTTACTGACATTCCAGAGTCCAAGAGAAGTCGTTCTTCTTCTTTAGTAGTGAGAAAAATCGGTGGCTTTTGTCGGACTATCTGGAAATACACCGGCCCAATGTGGCTATCCGCCTGGTCAATCTTTGTATTGCCTTGACATTGTCAACTACGGTGATATCCTCTATAGCTTTTATCTTGTCCAGGTTGATTTCTATTCCCCGGTTGGATACCATAAAATCGAGGAACTTGCCCGAGCCGACCTCGAAGGCGCACTTCTCTGGATTCAGCTTCATGTTGTATTTCCTCAGTATGTCGAAGGTTTCCAGCAAATGCTTCAAATGGTTCTCTGCTCGCAGGGACTTAACTAACATATTATCAATATAAACCTCCATTGATTTTTATATTTGTTCTCCGAACATCAGGTTAACTAGGCGTTGATACGTGGCACCGGCATTTTTTTAGCCCAAACGGCATTACGGTATAACAGTAGGTGCCAACTTTAGTTATAAAAGAAGTCTTTTCTTGGTCGCCTGGATCCATGAATTTGGTTGTACCGGATAGGCATCGAGAAAACTCAGTATCTCGTACCCGGCCGTCACATCGATCATTCGGTCGATGTTAAGCAAAGGAAATGAATCCTTTGAACATGCCTTGTTTAGGTCGTTATACTCCACACACATTCCAAATTTGTTTCCCTTTTTCGATACGACCACTACATTATCTAACCAATCCGGGTATTTAACTTCCCCGATGGAACCTATTTTCAAAAGATTAGGGCCCCTTTTGGCTATGAGTTTTGGCAAAATAAATTTGGAATTTATTTTCAAAACTCATGTTTGGCCATAAATTTTGCCCACATTTTGGCAACATCCCAAATCCCAAACCCCAAATCCCAAAATCACCCCAATTGCTGATTCTGGGCCAAAATCCCAAAACTTGGGTATTATATACATGTTTTTCCAAAATAAAGTTGAAAAATATGTTTTGAAAACGTATGTCCAAACACATTTTCATCTTCAAACCAAACTTCACCCAAGTCAGATTTTTCAAAACAAATTTGGAATCTATGGCCAAACGCTAGCTAGATACCTCGTCTTTGATGAACGCATGTTTATTTTGGATTACAGCCTCCTCTTCTGTTTGACCGGGTGGAATTTTGGTCCAAGCTCAATTTGTGAGTCGTTACCTCCGGTGGGATCCATATCATATCTAAGTGGGACCATGCAAAACAATCGGCATTATCTTTAATGAAATAGATAAGTTTTTTCCCAAGCTCGGGGTAACCCCATGCCCAGGTATACCTTTCGATCTGGTAGGTACTCGATTAGTAGGACCTGCTCCAATTCCTCGATCGTCGATTTAGTGGCATCTGTATAATCAGGTGCAATAAAGGATCTCGAGGTCATTGGCAGGTTGATGTTGATGGCAATTTGTGAGTTAGTGTCGACTGGGTCAGCGATTGGGACACCATTAGGATTAACAAGGGTACGTCATAGCTAGGTACCACGTTATTGTTTTCACCATGGTGTCCTGACTCGGTGTCAACATTCAAGTGAGCAGACTGAGAATTTGACATTTTTAGATTAACCTGAAATCAAACTTCAAAGAGCAAGTGTAAAATAAAGTGTGTTATGGAGATCCGTATTAAATCACCGCTATTATTCTTAGCCCCACGGTGGCGCCAAACTGTTTACCCTTAAAATGAGTAACAATTAAATTTGTACGCGGTTTAAAGGATACGTGATTTAATTTAACATGAATGATCTATGAACAGAAAATACTTAAATTAAAGAGAAACAAAACGATCAAACCAAACGTGATGTACAATTAAGCCTGGCTTTAGGATGAACACTGAAAATCGACCCCGGTCGAGCCCTCGAGATGGGCTCAGTTGCAACTAAATAAATAAGAAGTTGAAGAATACTATGAACAATAGCTAAGGAACAAAAATGAACTTTTATTACTTTGATATACGTGCCAACGGTGGGATTAAAATCAAAAGGTTCTCCCCTTTATATAGTAGGGGAAATTCAATCCTAGTACAAGTCTAAATAGGGTAAAAAAAAAGTCTTCTCCTTCCAGTAAACATTGACCTGCAGTTGATACCGGGCGCGATTTGCACCGTAACATCCGGTTGAGGGCAGATATTACGGCTCGCCGCTTATCGTGTCTAATTGTTTTTCCCTTGGTCTCATCCCTTCACTCTGCTCGGACCGATGCTCAGCCGTATCCTATTCCGAGTGCATCATTCGTCTTCCGCGGGCTCGGAGATGTGGAACCCCTTGGCTCTACTCAAGGTCATGTTAGATAGTGCTTCCCTCTTGTTTCTTTACTGGGAAATCGGGGGTAACTTTATCCCCGATTTTACGCGTACACAACTATCACGACTTACAACTTTTTTGGATTGTTTTTACATATCGTTTCATAATGTATCGTATTGTCTTTGTACTATATTGTTCGATGAATACAATGTTTGGATAGATTGTATCATTTGTCGTCGTTTCATGATGTCATGCACCAATAATATGAAGAATAATAGAGTAGCATAAAGGATAAGATATGATTATTTAATAATAAAGAAGAGCAAGATGAGATAATAACGCCGCCGCCACACCAAATTCGTTATTTCATAAAGTGATACTTTTAACGATACAATACAAATAAAATTTAAGTAACAATCAATACAAGCATTGCATTTAAAGTAAAAATACGATACGATACAAATGTAACAACCATCCAAACAAGCTGACCTAATTTGTGGATCTGTATAACTGAGGGGCAAATGATTTGTTGTAAAAAGGAGAAAGGGACAAGCGGAGTGAGGCCATGTCTTTATATAACATGAATCATTTAATTATGGTTAATTAATATTGTCACAATTTAACTTAACCATGATAATTTAATAAAATTTGGTCCATGTTATCAGACTTAGGCAAGTTTTTATTTGTTTTAGCACTTTTCTCCACAAAGGGAAAAATGCAACTTTTGTGCTAGCTCCCGGAAATGAGGTTTACTCTGATAGTTATTCATCAGCCACAGAGCAGTGGCAGCTATAAGATAATCTTCAGTTATAGCCCCTAAAAAGCTGAACCAATCATCTAGTAGTCAAGGTTTGAATAAGATTCTTAACGTGTATGCAAGGCCAAGTTTCCCTATGCTATGGAACAATGCTATGGACAAATGCTATGGACAAATGGTCAGTAGTGAAGCCAAAAGTTTCCCTAGGGTTATTCAAGAGGAAAAGCCTCTTATCTAGCTACTACCAGCTGAAAACTTAAAGAGAGAAGGGACTCTAAGGTTCACTTGGAGTTGGATTTCATAAGTCCGAGAAAGTGAATGTGCCATAAGCGAAAAGTAAACCAGTGCATGTTCTGTTGTATATTCAATTTCATAGGAGCGCCAAAAGATTTACATAGCAGTGCTAAATCCTTGATAGGCAGATCTTCTACATACATGAAAAGTGATTAGTAAATTATGAAGTCCTTTCATTATCACTAAATCGTACCACCCTACCTTTAGTTCCTTCGACGATCGACTTGATCCACTAGCAAGAATGCATGTCAAGTTTTTATATGACCGTGCCATCTTTAATGGTCGCATTCTTCATTATGACAGTAATCCCAGACCTAATGTAAAATCCTTCCTCCGGCCTTTCAGCTTCTTCAACACCCTGGCAACACCCAAGCATCAGTCAAACTGGTATTCTCTTTATTTCACACTACTCAAGATAGATACTTACTTCCTTGTTCCCAATAACCACATCTTTTCCTATCTTTGCATTCTTGTCAATTATGCAATTTCTTCAAAAAAATTGGAAAGAAAAGCATGTCAAAGTCCTCTAAAGGTAACCTCGTCAAAGTTTAGCCAAACCAACGGTAAACTACACAGGAGTAAAATGATAGTAGAACATCTTACTGTATCTTGGTGTTAGGTCCAACCCCTATGGGAACCTTTCCTTCTGCTAGTAATGAAGCGATCTCACAATCAGTTTGATAATAGTCCGCACCCATCATCATGGTATCCTGAGAAGTGTAAGACATTATTCAGCTTAAATCAACTAAGCACTATACTAGCTGTGTACGATAAAAGCACTAACAGGTTGAGACCATGCTATGTAGAAAACAAACAGATGCAAAAATATTATTTGACCAGATTTGATGCTTCATAAATTGAATATTCTTGTAACACATAACAGAAAGTTCTAAACAAAAATGCTTGCGGTCCATTGCTCCACTATGCTAAAGTCCATTCCAATGGTACATCTTAACAGCTTATTTGCTGAAAGCAAGAAAGCAGCAGGAGTCCAAATTGTAAAGCATATTTGCTGAAAGTATCCATACTGTCATAAATCATCCTTCCTACAACTAGTTTTATGGCATATCCACAGGATGGATGGTAACCGCTAGAAGGGGCAGCCTGGTGCACAAATCATACCGCGTTCACCTAGGGTCCGAGGAAGGGCCACACTTCAAGGGGATGTGATGTAGGCAACCTACCCTGAGACAAGCATCAGTGATTGATTCCACGACTCGAACCCGTGACCTATAGGTCACACGGAAACAGCTTAACCGTTGCTCCAAGGCTCCCCTTCAGGGATGGTAACCGTTACGTGCCTTATATAGTTATATGTCATCCAGGTTTTCTAAATTGTTAGAATGCATCAGATGAGTGCAGGATATTGTTTTTAATTTAGTCAAGGCTATAACTGGTATAACTCTCTGGTTAAAACAGATAAGAAAAGCTTTCAGCTAGAATATGAAAACATACCTTAAGCTCAACACCATAGTCTAAGCGTGATCGTACACCAACTATAGAGTGCTGGATGGAACATTCCCTCATAAAGCAACCATGTGAAATTATTGCATCCACTATCTGACAATAAACAGCATTAACATGACATTTTCAAAGTACGCTTTACCACAACTATTTATGATAACTGGCATACCCTGGATTTGTCAACTTTTGTTGGAGGTAAGAACCTAGGAGAAGTGTAGAACGGGGTCTTTGGGTCATTGAAGTCAAACTTTGGAGGCTACAAAAAGAAGAAACCAATAAGAGGAAAAGTCCAATTCAGTAACAAGTTATTAATCAACAACTGAAGATGGAGGTTATGGTGAATCTAAATGAATAAAAAAGCAAAATAATTCACTGAGATCTAACATTCCAAAATTACTTAAAATACTGCTTCATACTTCAGAGTCCTTGTGTCAATTTTCTAGCTCTTACTTTGCATAATAGTAGAAGTAGTCAGATGGCAGTAAAGATTAAGTTGCTCACCTGCTCTGTGAGGGCCAAGTTGGCATCAAAGAAGGACTTAACTGTTCCAATGTCCTCCCAATAATCACTAAACAAATATGCCTAATTAAAATTGATCAATCAGAATCGAAGTATGAAATACAGTGAATTTGTGAACTTCAAAAGCTAGGAAGTTGCAATTGAGAGAGTTACCATCAGCTATTACCTGGACATTGTGATCTTTTACAGCAGAAGGGATGATCTCAGAGCCGAAGTCATTGCATGAAGGGTATGCCGATTTTAGAAGTTTTAGTAAAACTTCAGTTCTGAATACATAAACACCCATGGATGCAATGTAAGGACTATTGGCTGCCTCTTGCTCAGATAGTCCAAGGATAGATGTGTCAACTTGCTGCAGTAAAATATTAGACGTACAACACAAGTTACCAAGGAGAAGATACAATTTGAAAGCAGGCGGGACTGTGAGGGGATAATTAAATTACTTATTAACTTTCATTTCAGAAAGAATTTATCAAAATTCAAGGCGTGGAAGTCCAGATATATGTACCATTGCCTTCAAAGCAGGGCCTTTTGGTTTCTCAGCAAATTGGATGATACGCCCTGTTTCATCAATTTTCATCAATCCAAAATCTGAAGCTCGACTGCAAAGGAAAGGATGGGCGGAAGTAAGAGAGAGAAAAAGGTGTTGATTAACTCCTTGATAGAGTATAAAAGGGTCATTAGCCCATGTGACGCATTCTAGATAGACAACATGACTGAAATCTGCGTAGGAAACTGCAAAGTAGAATACTTGTATGCTTTCAGATCTTTCAGTAGACATTAATCAGAACTGGTGTCCCGCAGTTAATGAGGATGTAAGATGGGAAAATGCATCAGGTTATCACTATATATCGATAATGGTGCAGAAAAAGATACTAGGTCTATTTAAATCATTAAACCAAAAATGATTTCAAGCCTTCCAAATTCACATTTACTTTCTATTATTCCTTTTCCTTGTTTGAGCCAAAATCTTAGAGGATTAATGTAAAGCATGATAAATCGGGCCTTTTGCAATTATATCTGTAGATTGATATATCTGACAAAAGGTGCCACTATAGTAATCAATACGCCTTCAACATATTAGGAACAACTGTGGCCACCATCCATCAATCTGAACCTATGTTGCGCCGACTCTCCAAAATGTTGCCGCACCCGTGTCGGATTCTCCAAAAATACACTACTTTGGGAGTATCCGACACGCACCCGGCGACATTTTCGGAGAGTCCGAGCAACGTAGCTCTGAACAATATTAGAAAGAACATTTGCAAAGAAAGCAAATAGGAATTGGTTTCGCACTAAATAGCCTATCAAGTTGAGAAGAAAGATGGATTTCATACCTATCATCCACTGGAACACATGAAACTGTAATATCAGCATTCGTGTCAATATGCTTCTGCAAGCACAAATCCTTCATTAAGCAAAATATAGGAACATAGGGTTGATGTAGGAAGCAATTGTTACCCACAAGTTACTCAAACCTGAACAAAGTCCATATAGTCCATACGATAAAGATGATCACCGGACAAAATCAATATGTGCTCGACATTCTTGTTCTTCTCATTCTATGTAATCATTCAGAAAAAAGGTCAGCATTTTCCCCATGAACTTTATCAATGGCAGATTTTAAACACATACCTCAAATACCCATATAAATTGCCGCACAGCATCAGCAGTGCCTTGGAACCACATTTTCCCTGCATCCCCTGGAGTCTGGGTTGCAGCTAAAACCTGTATTTGAGCAATACTTTTGCTTTATCATTTCCTTTATCTTCCCTGTTTTTAGGTTCTTTAACCTCCCCATGGATCCCAGGAGCCAGAGGAGAGGAAAGTAACAAAGTTTATACAATGTAGATACTTATCAAGCATCTTATGAAAAGATATGATTAAACTTTACTGCCAAAAAAATAGGTAGCTTAATAGAGCTTTAGACTAAACACTACAAGAAAGCAGAATGATTTTACCTCCACAAATCCATCTCCAAAATTCACTCCGTTTCCAAAATTATAGGTGCGAGCAAGGTGGCGATTGAGGGAAAATGAATTGAACTGTGTTAAGATGAAAATTTTTCGTATGCCACTGTTAATGCAGTTACTCATTGGTACATCAATTAGCCGGTAACAACCACCAATCGGAACCTGCAGGAAAAAAAAAATCAATTGCCACAGATTTGAATGAAAACCGATAGAGATGACTTATCCAGCCATTTAATTACATAGTTAAACCTGAATTGAAGTAGGAATAGAGAAGGCAACTCCACGCTTAATTGATTTACCCCTTTCTTCGTTCTTAAACTCCAATTGAATCGGAGTGAGAACAGACAAAAGTTTTTAGATTGAAGTTCTTTTGAATTGGACGATCTTGTCAATCTCAAGGACACTGAAAGGAAATATATGTTGTAATACTTACAGCTGGTTTAGCTCTTCTGCTGGTAAGAGGAAAAAGACGAGTTCCAGCACCGCCACCTAGAATGACAGAGGCAACAGTTTTTGGGTCTGCCTTTGGATGCTCCTCCCCAAAAATTGATTCATCAAATGACTAAAACCAATACAAAGAACATTACATTAATCTTCTTTAGATGGATCATTAACTCTCCTTCTATGAAACAAACACTTAAATACTGTCCTTACCACAAGCTCTTTGTTTATGTCCCGAGTTAGAACAGAAAAGGCAACCCCACTCTTAACTTTTCTACCCCTTTCTTCAGTTCTGATGCTCTTGCACGACCGGATGCCAAACCCCTTGTTTATCAGTCTTCCACTTATCTTGTTTCCCCAAAATGAACTGTCTTGGTTGCTTATACCCCGGCTAATTGCCACTGATTGTGCAGTGCCCTTCATATTAGCACAGAAGGTATCCATTGCTGTAATACTCACTCACTTTCAGTACCAATTAGACATTCACCAAAGAGCACAGTGTTTATAGTGTGAAGTCAGCCAGAAAAGTACAGAATCCCAGGAACTACACGACATAAAGAAGCAAATTGAAGTTAAAATACAATAACAACAACACTGCTTTTTTCTAAAAGATTCGAACCTGACAAAGAAAGTGCAAAGACAATTTACGGACCCAACAAAAGGTCACAACTTTACACGATAGATTCCTGAACCAATAACATGCAAGCCCAAAATATCAAAACTAGATATAACCCAGATCACAAAACGGATAAATTACTGAAGAGAAAAAAAAAATAGATACAAGACACTTCCATCTACTAGAAATACAAACAAAATTAAACAAAGGAAAAAACCTCATTACCTAAAGTCACCTTTTAAAGTTATGAAACTAGATCGGAAAACCTATATTATGGAAAACCTCAGCTTTTTCAGACTACCTGAAGAAGTCAGCTTTCTATATAAGCACCCAAAAATTTCTGCTTTTTCTTGGCAGAAAGAAATTGAAGGAAAGAAGCAATAATGTGAGTTTGTTACATACTCCGATAAGCAGTGGGGTGGAGTCCTAAAATCTTGGGATTTACAGAGTCCAACATATTAACGTGAATGACTGGCTGGCTCTCTCGGTACTCTCGAGTCTGGAGTCAAGACTTGGGAGTGTTGCCTGTGGCAGTGTCATTTGCAAACTCAACTTCCACGTGTCACCTAAAACCAGGGCAAAGAATAAATAAATAAATATTCTAACTATATTTATATTTATTTTTTATTGAATTAATGTTATGTGTATTAACAATGCAAGTAGAATTTTAGAGTAAATTTTAACATAACCTCCTTAATTTTTTGGGTTAGCAAACTTATGTCGCGGGTATTTCAAGAATGACCTATATTAGTATTGTAAATTTATTTTAACTTGTCAATTTTGTGTAAAACTTTTTCTAAAATGAAATATCTGACGCCATTCTTAAGTAATTCGTTTTCTAAGTAGTCGATAATATTTCATCAATAACTATTGAAAAATAAAAATTAACAATACCAAATGTTAATGTAACTTACAGGTGGTATGAAAATAATTCTAAATATTTGTAAGATCGGCTGAAATGTTAACTCAAAGGAGCTTTATATTTCATGTTACAAATGATGAACAAGGTATTATTTCCTTACCTTAAAGATTAGGGGAATCAAATGGAATTTGCTCATTTTTGATACAATACACTATTGGTAATTCTTTTCATTTTTTAATTTTTTTGTTATAATTCAGAGTAATTGAAGGTCATTTTCTACCTTTTTTGAACATACAAGGGATAACTGGTTCATCTTGGTTGTTGATTCAAGATCAAGAGGGTTTTGTGTTCCAGTCAAAAGGTGAATGGGATATTATTTTACAAATCTCAAAGGTTAAGGGTGGTAAATGAAATTAACTTGAATTTTCACACTATCAGATTAAACTAATCTACAACAATATATTTATATCAAATATAAAAATGGAGTAATAACATGTAATAATGAAGGTTCAATCACACTATAATAGACGTTCTTTATACTATGAGCATATATAACTTAATTCTGTTTTACCACAAGAGTATTAAATCAGAAATTGTAATTTCAATAATCACAGCTCCAATTTTATATTAATTAGGTGTAAAGTTTTAACTCAACAAAAAAAAAAGTTCACTCTTCATCTTTCCTCTTGCTATTCGCGGGCTAACTCACGTTCGAGAAAACTATTTAAAATGAAAAGAGGTAAAATTATTAATATTAGCTCAATTAACTTCTAATTATTGAGAAAGAAAGTTATATGGCTCCAAGAAAACTTAATGTTGTAAAACATGTTATAATTAGAAGATGCTAGAAAAACAATTCATTTAAAAAAGAAAAAAGAATGCGGCTATAACAAAACTAGAGTGCCACGTTATGGGGTAAAAATTTAATGGCACTTGCTATTTATATCGAATCACATCAAGCTATCATGATTTCATGATTAAACAACTAAATCATTCCGCAGCCTCAATTTAATATTTCTTTACTTGAAGATATAGTGTAGACGACAACAATCCATACAAATTTCACACGACTTATCATACAAAATGTGGTGCAAAATCTTAAGAACAACAGTTGATATTTTAAGTCATGAGTTAGATGATTCTTCTCATGATTCTTCAACTGTCTCAAGTCCTTGCTATTTTATACCAAAACACAACCTAACCCAATGAAACTAGATCACTGGACCTTTTTTCAAGTCAAATAAGTTAAAGGAGTAGAAAAATCCTCATTACCCAAAATTAGCTTTTTCTATTGACAGAAAATGGTGAATCTAGACAGAAAATGAAGAAAAAGTTAATGTGAGTGATAGTTGTAAGAGTAGAATTAAGAATTTAGGTTAAGTTCGTTAAAGAGTGAGATGAATGGACTCCAAAAATCCTGAGATGGTAATTAATTACTCACATAATACTAATACCTACTAATACTACTACTACTACTATATACAGAGTCCAAATATGAAAACGTGAATGATTAGGGTTCACTAGGGACTCGGAAGTTAAGGACTTGGAGGGTTGCCTTTTCTTGATTCGATGTCTCTACGTGTTACTTAAAACAAGGCTGGTAGGAATAAGGGTCCACCAAACTGTATAGAAAAAGTGGTTCTCTATCAATTCTCACATAACACACATAGAGCGATAAGTAAATGACATGACAAAGTTTTAAGTGAAAAACTCCCAGCTCACGGGATTAAAAATCACGACCTACACTAGTAGGAATTCAACTTCACTAACTGAGCAAACTTTAGATTACAAACTCTTGCAATCTAGGAATTAACCTTTTAATCCCTCACCTACTTGTAATAACTCTATTACAAGCATCTTTATAATAACTCTATTACAAAGCTCACACTTTGACTAACTCTAGCCAAAACACAAACACAAAGTTTACGATTTTACTAATGATTTCCTACAGAATGCTTCTAACTAAACTGAGTAGGAATTACAAATAGATCACTCTAACAAAGGTACAACAAAACTAAGGACATACGGTAACACAGTGCTGGAAACTAGTCCTTCGTTTTGTTGTTGCTTTGTTCTTTAAGTCTTGAAGTCACTCAAAATCGGCAGTACACTTGAGAGAGAGATCTTGATGATTTAGGGTTCTTCAAGTGTGTGTTTTTCCCTTGCTTCCTGTTGGTAATATACAAGTGAGGTCACTTGGACGATGTAAGAAATTATCCGGTACAAGGCATGTTCCATAAAGTGATTGCTTCACTGTTTTGTATTGTTGCGTGTGTGCAGAGAAACAACTATTTTACAATTTTGGAGATTTGACTTGTACTGTCAGTAAAGGAACTGATGTCCATCTGTTTCCTCTACCGTTTCTTTAACTCAAGTTGTTGGAACTTGTGCCAGACTTGAGACTTGTTGTTCTTGAGCACTTTGATGATGTGCAACAGGTTCCCAATTTAGTTCTCATCATAAAGCTTGTTAGATTATCAAAATACAAAAAGGCACATAACTTATCAATTTCCCCCTTTTTGATGATGACAAATTTATAATTGAAGTTCCTTCTGAAAACCAGATCTCTATACAGTTTTCCCTGTAAAAAGATTTTATTCCCCCTGAGAACCTATTCCCCCTCTCAATCATCAATTTCCTCTCAATCATCAATTTTCTTCCCCCTTTTGACATCATAAAAATATTATACAGAAGTAAAGGCAAAAATAAGTCTAGCAAACTTAATCCATGTCACAAGTGCACACAACATGGCTAAAAATAGAGCGCAAAAGTATAACACGCATAGCAAAAGACGTGTAACGACCCGACCGATTGTTTTGAGAGTTATAATCCCGATCCCCTATTAACTGCTTTTTCCATGTCTATTTAATCTATTGTGACTTGCCGGGAGGTTTCGTTTTGGTTTTTGGAAGTATTTGGGACACTTAGTTCCTAAATGGAGGTTTAAGCCTTAGGATTTGGACCATAGTCGTAACTGTGTGAAGACGACTCTGGAATAGAGTTCCGTCGATTCTGTTTGCTCCGTTGGGTGATTTTGGGCTTAAGGGCGTGTCCGGATTGTGTTTTGGAGGTTTGGAGCTCATTTAGGCTTGAAATAGCGAAAGTCCAATTTTTGGAGATTTGGACCGGTAGTGGAATTTTTGATATCAGAGTCGGATTCCAATTCTGAAAGTTGGAGTAGGTCCGTAATATCGGTTATGACTTGTGTGCAAAATTTGAGGTCATTCGGACGTGGTTTGATAGGTTTCGCCATCAGTTGTCGAATTTGGAGATTCTAAGGTCTTTAAGTTTGAATCGGAGGATGATTCATGATTTTAGCGTTTTTTAAGGTGGTTTGAGGGTTCGATTAAGTTCATATGGTGTTTTAGGATTGGTTGGTATGTTTGGTTGAGGTCCTGGGGGCCTCGGGTGCCTAACGGATGGAAAATTGGACTTGTGCATATTCTGAAGTTGCTGGTTTTCTGGTGTATTCGCACTTGTGGTGGAAAGTCCGCAGGTGCGACCCAACTAAGGACATACAATGACTCGATGTGGGAATTGGTCTGTAGTTGCTTTGTTATTTGTTCTTGAAGCACTTGAAACTTGCTTGCTGGATGGTCACGTGAATAAGCTTCTAAAAAGTTCAAGTTGTGCGTTTTACCTTCCTTGATTGTATATATATGTGTGTGACATCACTTATAATGATGTAAGCAAGGTAGGTAAAAAGTCTTCCCTGGAAAGTTGACTGTGGCACTGTTCCTGCACTGTAGCGTGTGCAGACAGCAACTTTGCAGGTGGAGAGTTGACTTCGTACAGTCTTCTCGGGAACTGGTAGGGACCTGTTCGCTCTGCTGTTCCTTCAACTCTGAAGAGTTGAATCATATCCCACGTTGAATCCCAGCCTGGATCCTTGTGATCTTAAGGTCATGTAAATGTGTAACAGGTTCCTTATCTGGTTCTGAATAGTAAGTTTGTTAGATCATCAAAACATAAAGTAAAGTACTTATGACCAAAGTACTTGTAACCTATAAATTTTCCCCATTTTGATGATGACAAACTCATAATTGAAAATCCTGGAAAGAGCCACATAGAACCAGACTGCAAACCAGATCTCTGCATTCCCCTTTAATTAGTACAATTATACAATTATTTTCCCCCCTTTTAGCATCATAAAAAGATCAGTTGCAGGCAATTTAAGCAAGAAGGAAGTTCAGTTTTAAGTTAACTCATGCCACTTATGTGCACACAGACATGATTAGAAACAGAGCATAAAAGCAAGTTCTAAACAGCAACAAGGGAAAAGCTTGCATTACATCATTTGGATTTTACAGCAGGAGCAGAGTCAATGTTACTACCACATCCACAAATTAGAACAACCAACAAAAATTCCATAAGTTATCATCATAAGAACTGACACTAGGTGAGGGGACCAGAAACTAGATTATAGACTTGACATTGAGGGGACAGAATTTAAGAAGCACTGGGAGGAGAAGGTTTTGAGGCAGAGGAAATTGTTTGGAGGACTAAATCCATTCAAGATTTGCTGACATTTGCTCGTTGAGCAGTCTCTCTTTCAGGTCCTCCACTTGTTTCCTGAGCTCAGCGTTCTCCTTTGCCAAGCGAGCAACTTCTTCGCTTTAAGAGCAACT